AGCAGTGCGTACGCCTCCCAACACGACACAACAATATACTCGACTTAATCCTCTGTCACAAAATAGAGCCGATCTCGATAGAGGTGAGGGATAAACTCGACAACAGTGACCACAACATACTGTACTGCACCCTACCCTTACAACTAACAACTAAACACACACCTAAGAGTTCCCCGGTTTACTATCAATATAGGGACTATCGAAATGCCGACTGGGAATTCCTACCAACGCTCTTGAGAAGCTCAGACTGGGGTGAATACTTCACCAATAATAACTTAGAAGTAATACTAAATACCTTCTACAAGACAATCAGTTCGGTAAGAGACACAATCGCACCCCTGAAATCTGCCCTAAAGACACCAACTCTGTTCATAGATCGCAAAACGCGAATAAAACTAAGGAAACTAAAAAGGAGATTTTATTTATACAAAGAATTTAATGCATTACACCTGATACACGAAATATTTAAAAATCTCGAGGAGAGACATAAAATGAAAGCACAAGTCGAGGAAAATAAAGCCCTAGAGGGCACCTCTAAAACCCAGGAACTCTGCAAAATCTTGCAAAAACGGTTGAAGAAGGGTGAAGAAAACAATATCAGTCATTTAGAACACGAAGATATAATTTATGATGATCCCCAGATCATTAGTGAACTCCTGAGTGAGTGGTTCTCCAATAACACCAAAGCACATCCGTCCCCAATTCTCGACATAACCTGCAAAAATAACTACAAGTTAGGTGAAATAAACTTTAATATACAAAATATAGCATCGGCGGTAAGGACATTAAAAGCTAACAGTAGTTGTGGGATAGACGATATACCATCCGTCATATACAAAAACGGTGGTACGGATATGATTGTATTATTACTTAGAATATTTAATATCTCACTAGTGACCGAAACCTACCCTGAAACTTGGAAAAACACATATATATTACCTAAGCATAAAGGAGGGGCCAAAACTAGTGCATGTAATTATAGGCCTATCAATATAACACCAGTCATATCAAGGATCATGGAGAAAGTAATCAAAGACCAAATGTCAGACTACTTTCTAAAACATAAACTCATCAACCTGTCACAACACGGATTCCTCAAGAAAAGATCTTGCGTCACTTGCCATATAGACTTTTTCAACGAAGTCACCTATAGAAGAGATAGGAGAGAGCTAGTGATTATCCTCTATTTCGATATAAGGAAAGCCTTCGACAGAGTCCCACATAGTCTGTTAGTCGGTAGGCTATGCTCACTAGGGATACGCAACCCCCTCTACAATTGGATAAAATCATTTCTGTATGACAGGAATCAGACAACTAAAGTTGGCTCAATGACCTCCAGACCTAGACCAATCAGCAGTGGTGTCATCCAGGGGAGTGTATTGGGACCCCTTCTTTTCATTATATACATAAACAGTATATGTGAATGTTTTAGTATAGGCAAGCCAATACTGTATGCAGATGACTTGAAGGTGACATATACCTGCACAAATACAGATATCGGCCCAACTATGAACTCCATACATGAAGAATTAGCAAAAATGGATAGATGGTGTGACACGTGGAAACTTGAGTTTAATGTTGAAAAGTGTGGATGGCTCTGCATAGGCTGTTCCAACCTTGACCTCAACCTAGCAATTCAGGGCCACAAAATCCCCAGACTCAAATCTGTACTAGACCTAGGACTGAAATATTCACACAATCTATCATTTTCAGAGCATATCTCGAATCAAGTGTCGAAATCACGAAGGCTTATTGGTTTCCTACTCAGGAACTTCTACAGAAACGAGTCCAGAATACTACTGTACAAGGTATGTGTGCGCCCACTCCTAGATTACTGCTCATTCATATTCAGCAGTACACGCATAGAAGACAAACTGAAAGTAGAAGGAGTACAGAGGTACTTCACGCGAAAAGTACTCGGAACCGATAACGGCACAAACTACTCTACCAGATGTGAAATCCTAGGACTAGAAACATTATGGTTAAGGCGACTGCGACTAAATCTGTTACTCTTCTATAAGCTTCTTAACCAAATAGTGTATACCCCTGCTAACTATACTCGGCCCTCAGGTAACACAGGATACAACCTTAGGCACACTAAAGGTACAGTGGCTATAGAACCATGTAAAACAGCCACCAGGCAAAAGTTTTTCTTGATTAGGTATGCCCAAATATGGAACAAACTACCTGAGAAAATACGACTAGCAAGCACATTGGCCTCCTTTGAAAAGGCACTTAATGACACACTAAGTGAGTTTGTAATTGATACCAATGGTAATTCCCATGTAAGAGTTTCAGAAATCATAGGCCCATTTAATGTATGAACTCAGAGACTACACCTGTTGTTTGTTTTGTCTCTATTTATAATTCCAGACAAAAAAGCAGCAGTCATGACAATAACACCCATTCAACCAAGAGTCGTTCAAACTATGTCTACCTGATACAAAGGGCGAACCATAATCAACATACGAATGAAATATGAGAAAACAAGGTAGAAACTTACCGCAACACCACATGAAAAGATAAAAGTTACTTGGATATCATATATAATCCACCAACTGGTCTCCTACCCAAAAAGAATGCGGCGATGTTTTATCCAAAAAGGCGAGGAAATACATAAACCCACAGCAGCTGTTGTTAACACTCAGTGGGGGTAGGAGCCAACAAAGTAATCCTTTCAAAGCACATGTATACTTCAAATGGGCACGGAGACTTTGTAGAATACGTCATAATCCAAATCACTGCCTCTACAGCGCAAATAAACCTGGATATCTATGATATAACGAAGACATGCTGAAAGCTGCATCTCAGATCAAGTTGACTCATTCCATGGTAATGATCTCCTCCTGCGTGCCTTATTCGACATATTGAATGGAATGGTTCGCAGTTATTCTGGTACTAGATCGAAAAGAATAAAAAATTCACCGGTTGCTGAATCAAAAATTAATTCCAAACCATTTATCCCATAATCACTCAAATTCCAGGAACGATCCAATTCTACCATTAAAAGAAGCTGGCGGACACGATGTAAATGAGTATTCATGATCTGAAATAAAGAAGCAACTGGTTTTCAACATTTTACTCAACTTACGAGTACAGTCCGCCATGCAGACACAAATGGCGCAAATGGAGAATTCTGGAATCGACCTCGGGACCATTTGATGCAGTAAAACAACCCGACATGACCTTATCTAATTTTCGCCTCCACGATCAAATTTCTTTCCTGTTATGAAACTACGATAAGACTGCTGAAAAATGGAATAAATATATCACTGATCTCAACATAATACATCAATAATCTTTAAGCCAAGGGTGCTGTTCACAACAAAGTTATATAAGAGAATTGACTTCAAGCTTTATTTTTCCCAGATATCTGTATTACATTCATGTGATGTCTGGGTTTTTTGTTAATGCGAAGACAATATTTCTATATCTCTTTATGTGCTACACAAACAGACTTTATAGCAGACTGTTCCGACTGACTTTGATGTCAGAAAGAACAACCAAACTGTAAGTCCATTATACATCAAATTATGTGTAATTTATATAATAACTTATCCATGCCTGTACAATAGGTATGTTCCTGCATAAACAGGAAGGAATATATTATTATTATTAAAACAATATTTATGCATGCCTATACAATTGGTGTACCCTACATAGCTAGGGAAAAAAATGTACTTTATTATATTATCTTTACTAAATATGCTTATTAATATTATGTGTAAATTATCGAATTGATGATGCCTGTAAACTGGCGTCCCTCATGTAAAAAATGAGAATATATATTATTATTATTATTAAATGTCGGCGTAGTCATAAGTTTAAAATCATTGACTGTTCGCCATATGTCTGTATGTTGGTTTGGTTGGCAGCACGAAGTGAAAGTTTACCAGGTATGTTGGCTGATCGCCTGGATGGTGAGGGGGGAATAACACTGACCTCAGCGCCTGTATCTACCAGGAATAATGTGCAGGTAGTCAAATCCCTCACATAGAAAAGGCGACTGGGGTGATTGCCAGTAACAGCCGTCACCATTACTGCCTGGCTGGGGAGTTTCCCTGAGTTGAGTTACCACTGTTGTACATGCACGGTCGAAGACACTTCAGGGCATTATGCCCATACCTCCTATGACACCAACAAATGTTACGGCTTTGAGACGGTGTTCTAGAACGTCGCCTAGATCTTGATCGCCGTTGCTTGGATACCGTATGTGACTGGTTCCTTTGTGCTCGAAGCTCAGACACTTCCAGTCGTAAGTCTTGCATTTGAGATGTTAACTGAGAAAGTAACCAAAACAGTGGTACGTCCTTCATAGATGTGGAATCCGGCAAGGCGGTAACAGAAGGGTTCTGTATCACCTCGCCTTTATGAAGTTCTTCGGGAATAGTGATACGTTTATATGGAGCCATTGTCAAAAAAATATTTAAGTATAGAGAGATACAAAATAGCAAAACTTGTGGTAACAAAAATTAAAGCAATGCGAGTTTATAAGGCCAAAATAGCAACAAAAATGTTCAAAACGAGTTTACTATCGAAACAAAAAGGTTCGAAAACGGGCTCACCAATTATTGTGGTGGACCTTTCAGTCTATTAGCTTGGTTACCCAAATTCAGATAGAAAATAAAGTACCAAATCAGTTTAGTTACGGGAAGAATATATTAAAGTTTCGTTACTTGGGTTTACAAAGATCCAAAATCCACAATAAACGTAATAGACTCCAGGTGCTGCGGGAAGACTGCTCCAGTACTAATTCTCCAGTGTTGACGTTGCCGGAGGTCGACCAAAGTACGTAGGAAGAAACTACGGTGCTCCTGCAAAAATTTGAGATAGAAAGCAGGTGATTAGGATTGATCGACGGCAGTTGAGATGGTGGAGAAGACGGAGAGTCGAAGGCAGAATTATATATTTATTCAAAACCCGAGGTAAAGTTCAAAGTACAGAGTTTATGGTTAAAACAAGGTGATGTACAATATGTTCATTTCTTACATAGTGGTAAAGTTTGGATAAGTTTACTTTTGAGGACTCCACACGGGCTTTAGCCAATTACCTGGGATTACCTGCAGCTTCAAGTACTGAACACTTTTCTTCTCCTCCTTTCAGGAAAACACACAGGTGTCTATTCCATGGAGCAAGAGCCACAACGTCTTTCAGGACTCAATATCAATGGTGACAATTAGACTTTGTGTGGACTGAACCCGCGCCTTCTGATAATGTCAAGGCCACATTCTGGTTCTCTTCATGGTGTGACTGTTGCTCATTGTGTTACAGTAAGTATGGTAGGTTATTCATAATATAGTAAGTTTGTTCGTGTGGAATGTCAGCAAGTTTGTCTATGATAATGTCTGCAGCAATGACGGCATTCATGTGCAGTTAAGCATGTGAGCAATGTCATTACTTCAATCCAGATACGTGTACATAACCTAGATTTACTACGTTATCCAATCCTCATAATTCATTTACTCAGTAAACTGCATAAGTGTGAACAGTAGGTAATACTATTATGCACTTGCATGTTATGTTCAACAGTTTCCACGCTTTCCCTTAAAAACCTCCAACCCAAAATAATCCTCGTCCCCACCAAAATTCTCCCCTCATGAACCCCATATTTTCGGCATAACCTGCAAATTACCATCCGGAACCGCAATTTTTCTCAAAATTGAACGATCCTTTTGTGTTCGGAGGGATATTTTTAAACCTGGTAATATCTGCTCCTAAAAGATTTTAATGCATTGACTTCACGACTCTTTTCTTCAAAAGTTCGAATTGTTGAATTACAGCCCGAGCAATCAGAACAAACTGTTATAAATGTTAAATTGTAAACCCTTCACTAAGGTCACCATCGAAGTTGAGCGACAACCCAAATTCCGTTCCATTTCCTGATGATAGTTATGGCCAATCGACAAGCAACATTTGAGCGAGTGCTATGCCCCCATGTGATTGAACGCTATTTCAGGAAGAGAAAAAAACTTCTGCGCAGCTGTAAAGTGGTATGAAATGCAATTATGAATAGTACGTTATTGGAAGTATATTTACAAGACAAATACAAGCTATATTAATAACAATCTATTTGAAGTATGGTGCTGACCATATTGTTCTTACCATGGAATACTATGACGTTTTCGACGAGAATATGGTTATTGTCAAACAGGGGTGTTGTTGTTTTTTTCTTCATCAGAGCTACTGAAATTTAGGCGAGCGACGAGTGAATGAAAAGTAAATTTCAGCTTTATTCAAGGCCTAGGGAGTTGAGATAAATTAGAGTATAATAGTAATTAGATAAAAAGATTATCGTGAAGTACATAAGTGACATTTCAGAGAGAAGTGGATTTAATGTTTAGAACCTGTTGGATATGCTGAACTGTAAGATGCCTGGCGAACTTGTGTATGGCCCATAGGGTAGCATCTTGACAAAAAGCTGAGCAGGCTTGTAGATTTTAGGAGAAAAGCCATTTTTTCAAATAATTTATTTTTATAATTTAGATCTGTAGTCATTGTTAAAAAAAAGTTTTTTTATATCGAGGATCCAAACTCATGTTTAATTCTGCTGTCGAAAAAATGCATGTTGCTGTCCTACAGATCGGAGTGATTCACATTTGTGACCGCCAAATCTGCTGATCAGCATGCGCCACCCTCCCTCTTATATTAAGCTGAGGCCTTTTACAATGACTGCAGTTGTAATACTGCATTGCTTTAACCCCGTCCCAATCATACAATATGCTGCACATTAACAGCTTTCTGCATGGTGCATACCTACGTGTTTGAACATAGTATATGTACTTGTGGGTTCTGGCACCGTTTGTTTAATCTTTGTATTAACAAATCTGTGTTCATGGTTGACTTAACGTCATATCTGTACTTCAGTTAGTGAGGACAGTAGAGGGGTAGGAAGTTTATAGTAACTAACGAAAAGACGTAGCATTAGAAATTGTGCTGTTTACATCAGCTTTGAGAGTTTGTCAGCAATAAAATAGCTACTATTATTGTTGCTGGCTTGTTTCTTCGCAGCTTAACAGGAGGGCACATTTTTGTCTACCTTGTTGAGTTAAATTTATTGTACGGACACATTTTACTATCCCGCCAACTAAGCATATGTGTTTTGAAGAATTAAAACCTTGGAATGAAGTGTTGCTGTGTGAAAATCACAGACCAGAGGTGATATGGGTATCAAGTGAATCTCGGTGCTTTACTTTAGTCGTTCAACTGTTCACTTTACATGGGTCATGTGGAATTATTTGGCTGTTTGGAATTGCAAAATGCTCATCAGTACGTTTCATTTTACCTGACTACACTAAGAATCCTTCATAGCTCAAGATTGAATAATGGAAGAAAACTACTTTTATCCATTCGTGCGTTGAGAGATGCTCCAACTATCGATGAAAAAGTTTTGGAAAATATATAAGTATTCTTTTGCTACTTGTCTCATCCTAAACATGTGATATAGTGACAAGCGTGCGTCACCGCTCCTCTTTTTTAACATCTGTTCACCGGTTAACTTGTTTGTTTGTTTATTTTGAAAATTAGATTACGTTTTCTGGGTGGAGAAACACAAAATTTTCATGATTTCACCAATTTGAACCATGTCATCATCAGAGGATTTTTCACATATGCCATTTCCCCCTAACTGGGAGCCTAGACTTGATCCTCAATCAGGAAATTGGTTTGTTGATATTGTTTACCTCCATATTGGTTTACTTATTAGGTTTTATATTAATCATGAAGATAAAACAACAAGTTGGGATGATCCAAGACCTGCGTATTACAGAGATGAAGAAATTAGGCGTTTAGTATGATTGCATAATTAATTTCGTGGAGATGTAACCCACTCTGTTTAGAATACTTACGTTATGGGTTTTGGTGATCGACAGGATTTAATTGGGGAATATTTTGATGTACCTGAAGATTTTCATAAGTGAGTAGATATTCTCAGTTGTATTTTAAATTTTCTGTGAGATTTTATGATTTTGTAATTTGCTTACCGCTTGTTTATCTGTGATTAATTTTGATCACAATAAAAAAAAATTAAATTAGTTGGAGAGTAAGTAAACACCCAAGTTTGAGGCTCATGTTTTTCATTGTTTCTTTTCCTACTTTGCATTGCACTGTCATGTAAATAACTAAGCTTGATGCAGGGCACGGATTACACAATAACATCAAGCAACAGTGTTGTATCAACTGTAATATCCTCTCAACAGTTGTAATGCAGCATTCATTAATATTTCATATACGAATATCTTTTTCCCATAGAATCTGACATTTTATTCTTATTCGCTGTCTCCTTCTCCGTACTTCACTTTTTCATGCCATCGTAATATGACGGTTATCAGTCATTAGATACTGCTATACTTTCAATGTTAGTTCCCCATGTGTCGTCGGATAGCTCTTGAATGTGTGTGAACCTGTGAACTATAAGTATGTTTGTCATTTTCAGCTGAGGTAGATCTTTTTCAATCCGACGGATATCCTTTGATATGAGCTGGGTGGAGTCTTTAGATAACGTAATTGTTCATTTGTATTTTTTTTGGTGTTGCATCAAATCATCTTTTACAGATCAACACTTTGCACATAACTTCAGCAATTAAAGTTGTTACATTGTGTGTAGCAAGCTGAGGGAGAGATTGATTTGGTGATTCTAGGATATTAGAAGTCAATATATATACAGAGTCTGCACAAAATCTATACCGTCAGTGTCCTGCAGTGGTCGGTCGCATATCTCACTATTGTGTGTCAATGATTCAGTGGTGAATAGTTCGTCAACCACGAGGGTGGTCTGAGGTTGGTCTCCGGCAGATACATTTCTTAACGTCACTGATTTTAAGCTAGTAGCAGGCACCGGAATGAGGGAGAGTCAGGTGTGAAGCTACAACCTCCCTCTGTAAAAGTAATACTACTGCTATTGACTGAAATCTCAAAGCTTGAGGTTGTGTATTCCACTAGGGGTGAAAGAATTGAAAAAAATATCTTGTCACTAATACAGGTGACGTGCCAGTCTATATTTGCCGTGTTCTCAGTACTCAATAATCTAGATACTTTACTCTCCTATTATTATTCCCCTAGGTTTCGAGCGTGCGTCGGTGGCACATCGGTAGAATACTCGCCAACCACGTGTGTGGTTCGGGTTTCGATGCCGGCCGACGGACTCCTCTACCTCGCTAAGCCAGTAATAAGACTGGTAAAGGGAGGAAGTTGGGCATGAGGTTAGCAACCCCATGCCGTAAAAATAAATGTCACAGCTACTGGGACTCCAAGTTTCTAGCTTGAAGCCCTATGTTCCACTGGGAGCATGAAGGAATAAAATAATAAGTTTCAAGCGGAACATAGGGCTTCAACAGAATGTCGTCATTTTGCCCTGTCTTCTGCAACTAGCCCCACTATTGGCCATAGGCTTTTATCTTCTCTTCACAAGATCCATATGTCACTCAGACCAAGCCCAACTTGTCACTTGCCACTCGAGCGATGGCTTGGTGAACAATGTCATCCGACGGTCTACTCATTGTATCTCCGGTCTGTTTCTATTTCTTCGGCATGGTTGTTGAGCAATACAATCTTGATTAGCTTGTTCTCAGAGTTTCCTGTTGCTAATTCTCCCAGGTCATTTGATCTTCAATATGGGACCAGCGAGGGTAGCTGTTGACAAAAGTCTGCAACATATCCCAAATGCTTTTTCTGGCGGGCCAGGTGTGTGACCCATACAGAAGGATTGAATCAACATTGGTATTGAAAATCTGAATCATGTTCTTTATGCTGAATGCAGGAAATTTCCAGACTGATTTCAGATTGACGGAGGTGTATCTTGCCATTCCGATTATGGTTTTTACATCCTCATCCGTGTCGTCCGCCTGCAGTTGAAACAATGTTGTCTAGTTAAGTGAACGAAGTGAGTAACTATGGCTCTCTTAAGGTAGGCAAATGCATCATTGTGTATGCATCCTAGCCCACACACCGTCACAAAAATACCCTATGTGCACTGCGAGAAGTGAAAATCTCCAACTATTGTACTTAGTCCTTTTACTGTTTCTTTCTGCCATCGCCCTGTATGCGGTGATAGACTTGACACTCCGTGACGATCGTATGCTTTTCTAATATTGGCGTCTGTGTGAAATCCTCCCCTTCGCTGCCTAGTACTCAGCGACTACATTCCCTCCGGTGTTTTGAGTATCTACATGAAGAAACTCATCTGGGCATGTGTAATGACGGAACGGAGAATCCAGTTACACGCGGCAGCCACCTCGTGACACTGGCTGGGGAGGGTTCATTATATTGAACCCAAGCTAAGCACTACCACAAGCATGAACAATATTCACACTTGGCTACTTAGCTGAAATAGACGGTGCATGAAAACCCTCGTGCTTAATGTGGACCGCAGGGGTCCGGGCAACCGAGACCACCGGGAGTTGGAGTGAGAGGGCTTGGACCGCTAGCGGGTGGCTGTGTATGACTCGATAACCCTATCATGGATTACTGGAGGGCCATGACGAACAGTCAGAAACGGTGTTACCTCCGTCTCCTCTGTGTTCACCTAAAGTCCTGTCTTTGTTGCTTCTCTTAACCTGTTGTTTTTTGCCTGTAAGTCTTCGAATTTATACGACATGTGACAAATCGTCCACGAAGTCCAAATTTTCCAATCTTCTTATTGGTCAGTGCAGCGTATTCCTGTCTTGCTCCCCACTCAAAGTCCACCACAATTACGAATACCATTAGTGAAAGTAGGCACTGTTGTCTTACTTCTGTATTCACTTTAAAGGCTCCTTCGGTGAGTTTTCCGTTGTGGATCACCCGATACGTGCCATTGTCACATAGCTATTGAATGAGGTTGATACAGATTTGTAACATTCCATAGTGTTGAAGCAGTTTCCTAACTAATTCGTGGTCAGCTCTGTTAAAGGCCTTTTCAAAATCGATGAAGTTGAGGTAGAGAGAGAGGTTTGACTACCATTCTATGCTTTGCTCTATGGTGATGCGTAGAGTTCACATTACTCAAAAAATGTGAATCCATTAAACACATACTTTTCATGCTTCAATTTTTTAGATGAGAGATAACTGTTGGCCTTTGTTTGTTTTGCTTTATCGAGAAAACAAATTTATTTGTGTTTTTACCTTTGTGTCATTTTCAGACCACATAAACAACATTCAAAAAACAACAATCCAAAGTCCGGTGGTAAGTTAAGCATTTATTTTTCACTTTACATCTAAAGAGACATATATCTGCCTAGTTGTACTTGTATGTTCTTACAAACAGTTACTTAGATCATAATCACAAGATTCTAATCAACGTGGGGTTGCCTAATATTTGTTGATTAATTAAAGTATGTACTGTGATATATATAATATAATATTTCATCATTAACTAATAATTATACTTTAAATGACAAAAGCAAGAAATTGTCCAAATTATCCAATTACAGAAAAATCTACTTGGTTGTAACAAACGTTCTGTACTAAATTGTCTCTCACACAGTTTCCATCTTTATTGTGTTTGTTTTAATCATTGCTCTAAACCAACTTTGCATATAAGCTAGAGTGTGGTAAGGAAAAGTATAGAATATTTTCTGAGATATAGGCGGGTTCTAGACTGAGAATATATATATGTATATTGTTGTTGTGTGACAACACATGCTTCTTAGGTCCTTGAAGGGAACCTAAGTGGGAAACAGCGAATTGGGCTTCAGTCCGACGGTGATATCGAGGAGATAGCATGAGGAAGAGGTGAGAGCTTATGGGTGATCATGGAGTGGACAATAGGGAAAAAATAGTAGTTTGCTATTAAAACCCTGTGTTATACTGGACACCCAAGAGAATAATGTCTCTCAGTGTTATACAGTAATATTTACTGATGACGTTTCGGGCACACTTTATTGCTCATAATCATATCAAGGTACTCACACGACTTCCTAACTTCATTGATATAGTTCCATTATTTTTCACTTGATTTGATTGGCAGTAGTATTTTCCATATTTCAGATATGAGTGATGAATCATTCCTATTGCATGTGTTTGGAGTAGACTCGATAAACAAGGATTCAGTAATCAATCTTTCTGAATCTCTAACTACCTATATTACTTCTTAGAATTTTAGCCCTCTCCCACCCTGTTGTGTGGTTGTGTGTTAATGCATGCAGTGTAATTGCTGAGCTTTTTTCTAAATTACTTATCTTCTCGGGGTCAACCATTCTTCCCCTAGCTAAATTCTTATGTTCCGACAATCTGACTAGCCCCGACCTACTAGTTTGGCCTATGTAGTTGACCTCACTCACAGTCATTGCAGGGTATTTTGTAAATTATATTATATTGTCTAATTTGGTCAACCGACAGGGTCGTTTAACCTACAGAGCTTGTCCGAGCTGAGTGAGTTTGTAGGTTTAAATGCTACTCTAATTCCCGCTTTGTTAAGAATCCTACGTAAGGTCTCAGATGTCCCCTCTTTATATGGTATAACTGTGGATGACTTATATTCTCTCTTATTTATGTTATCATTACTAGTGTTGCAATTATTTTTATCTTGTTTTTGGCCTTTTCTGATCTTCCTAATGAATTTTATAGGATAGTTAGTTATTTAACACCAAAGCCTCTTCTGTCTGTTTTATTTCATCATTTAGGTCTTTTCTTGTGTTACTTAGTGCTACTGCTCGGTTTGTTAAACACTTAACTGGGCCTGCCTTCACAGACAGATAACGTATGAGTGGAATTAAAATCTAAATATTTATTAGAGTAAAGTGGTTTTTTTTATAAACGCGCAACTGTATGTACAGATATAGGCAAAATACGTCTACTAATATATTAAAATCACAATTTGCACATGCCTTCCTCTCATCTTTTCTACTTTGTTTCACGAGAATTGTTCATTTCTACTCATCTATCTCCATTAAATTCATTATCTCTGCTATTCTATATACTCTTGTAGATGATATACATATTTATATCTGTACGTGTAGTACTACTTACAAATCTTGTCACAGTAACACACGCCTCGTAAAAAATATTGACATTTAATGGGAAAATTAACAAGTTTTCAGTTCACTGCAAATTGTTAACAGGCTGTTTGCACATTGTTTATGACTTTATGTGGATACAAATGAAGTCGTTAACAGATTCAAACATAAGACAGTTAATTCGCGTGGTTTCCATCATTCAGACGTAAAACATTCATCATTAACACAGCAGTATCCAAGCGTATCACCGAACACTTACCAGCATGGTTTTACAAAGGAGAAAAACGATGTCCCGGCAGCTCCATCTTAGAACATTTGATAGAATCCGGACACCAAGCTGCCCCTCAAACAAACTTCAAGGTAGTCTACAGAGTAAGAAGTAGTCTTCCTAAAGGTGTACGAATAAGACTTCTTCAAACTGCAGAAGCAGTGGTGATTCACTTGCTAAGCCCTGAACTCTGCATACAGAAGTTCGTTCACTACACTTGCAGTGGACTTAATCTGTCTTATTACCCGACAAGTAAATTCTACCTAATCTTTTTTTTCTGTCTCTTCATTAGTATTATTTCGTCTTCTCAATTGTAATATTTTGTATTTTCAACTTTCTTGTTCTCTACCCCCACCCGATTTAATTTGTACACCTCACTACCACTGTTACTGACTTGACCAACGCTCAATTTCTAGTCATTTATGTTACGTCATCCAACTTAATTGCTCAATTTCAGTTCTAAGTTAAATGGCATTATTATCTACCCCACTTCTACTTAGTCTCTACCTGTAATTACCTCTGTTGCTACCCTGACCTAAGTTGAAACATTTTAGTCAATTAACTATATTACGTCATCTAACTTACTAACTCAATCTTACTTACTTTAGTTGCTGTCTAATTAATCTTGTTTCTATATTATATCATTCTTGTATTACCGGATTAATTATATAAACTTAACAAACCTCATGTACACACCCACTCACACAAATAATTATATGTAAATGCTATTGTACAGCTATGTGAATGAATTCGCCGTCGAAAAGAGTCTCTTTGCTGAACATCTTCTCTTTTTCATATGACTAAATGGGGATTTTCAAGCTAACACAGCAGTAGTGTTTATGTTGCCGTCTCAAACAGCATATTTCAAGCACTTTCTTTCTTTACTATCACTTTCAATACACTCATTAGATGATCGTTCGATTGCCAGTAAAAAACAACACGGTCGAAGTAATACTACTACTGGCAGGGAAAATTCATCATCAAGAATAAAAAGTCATTCTAAACAAAGAATCACACCGACGAATAAGCGTGAATCCAGATCAAGTGTTTGTTCACAAAATGATAGTGAATCGTATCCTTCTTCAACTTGTGTATCACCAGTTATACACAAGACTTTGAAACGTCTTTCGAATGCATTAAAAAGTGATGATGACAGTCATGATGATGGTGATGATAAACAACCGATCGAAAAGGTGAACACCAGCCCAAAGCAAATCGATGAACAACTACCTCGCATTAAGTAAGTAACTTCCTTTATATAAATAGATCCTTTTTAAAAAAATTATTTTAATAAAGCTATTTTATCCGAAAATGTTGATGGTAGTAGTAGGTGTTCAAACTGATGTAAAAGCATTAATTTATGTAAGTAGAAGAGAACCAATAACGTGTTAATGTAGAGAGACCCAAAGCCTCTAACACCTTAGATATTCTTTGGTTGGGCACCACCACCACAGGAATATATCTTCCAACATCTCTACAATACAATCATCGATTGAACTTTAAGATTTCTTGCTAACTTCATCTCAAGGTTTGCTGTGAATATTAGTCTTTGGAATAAGGACTCAACTTCCAAACAGTAGGTCACGGGTTCGAACCCTCCCCCAACCCTGCAAAAACTGGACAGCTGGGTTAGTACCATAAGCCATTACATACAAGGAAAGGGTATTATTATTATTGTTCCCTTGAGTTCCTAGTGGAACATAGGGCTTCAAATGCACGTCTCCACTTGCTTCTGTCTTTTGCTGTACTTTTCACCTTCATCCATGTTAGTCCATACTGTTTCAACTCCTCTTCACATGATCTCCTCCATGTCACCCTTGCACCAACGTCCCACTCGCCGCCTGCTTCCCTTTCCGGTTCCACTCGAGCAATGGCCTGACGCGCTATGTCACCCAGAGGCCTCCTCAGCGAGTGACCGATCCATCCTTCTTCACTTTCTCCTGCATGTTTGTTGGTTGGCGATCGGTTCTTGTTTTGTTTGTTCCCATAGTTAGATTCTTGTTGGTGATTCCTTCCTGCCCGTCCATCTGATCTTCAGTACAGAGCGAAGACAGTTGTTGTTGATAAAGGTCTGGTCTGCAACAGGCTGTTGGAAATATTCTTTGTGACCCGCCCGCCAAGTTTCTGATCCGTATAGAAGAACTGACTGGCTAGTTGCTGTTTGTATTGAAAATCCGACCGAATTTTGTTGTTGGTCCTGGCTGAGTGACGAAGATTTCCAGATTAGTTTCAGGTGGGTGGTGAATGTGTTACTCGCCTTCTCGATTCTCTCTCGATTTGACATCCTCGTCCGTTCCGACTGTCTGCAGTTGAGACAATGCTCCCTAGATAAGTGAATGAAGTAACTGAACTCTTTCAAATCCCTCCCGTTGACGGTGATTGACGCTGGATGTTGCTGTTGTTGTCGTAGTTGGGCGGTTATTTTCATAACCTCCGTCTTGTCTATGTTCACCTGGAGTCCTGTATTTGCTGGCTGCTTCTTCGACCAGTTTGTCGGTCGGTTTTCGCTTGTAAGTCTTCGATTTTGTGACAGTGACATCAAACATAAATCATCCACTCGCGAAATCCAGGTCTTCTAGGTTCTTCACGTCGGTCGGTCCAGGATATCCCTGTCTTCTGGTTTCCCACTGTCTGACGCATAATCCAGTCAGTCCACCACAATTAGGAATATCATTGGTGATAATAAGCACCCTTGTCTGACCTGTGTGTTTACTCCAAACGCCTCGCTGAGTTTTCCGTTGTGGATGACTTGACATGTGCCGTTGTCGTACAGCTGTTGAATTAGGTTGACCCGACTGCTTCTCAAGTATTGGTCTGCATTTTTCGGCTTATAAACAATATCTCATCTAATTTTCTCACCAGATGATACAGGGGTAATAATCAAAAGCAATGCGTTTACATTGATAGTATTGTTAAACAAAAATATGCATATAAAATGAAACTGAAAATATTAAAAACAATATAATAATGAAAGAAAAAAAGAATACAAAGGGCCCTTAACGTAGTGTTTCCCGGTAAATCAGTAGTGTCATGCCCTACATTTTTCTCGTCACATAAAATGTGCGCCAAAAAACGATATTGTATATTTTTTATACTTAGTCAGCAGAGCATAAAAACTTTTATAATTCCTTCTAGTCCTACTTGATGAGATACAAGGAGAAAGGTGTGTGTGTGTGTATGCAGAGGATACTCAGGATCTGACAAGATAATATTAGCTAATTTCTCGCACGAGACCCTACTGACAGCTTTTAGCGCCCTCCGTAAGCCAACGAAGTCTTTCTTTAGTACTCCAAGAAATACTGAGTGGTAGCAATGAGGAACAATAGATGGAGCACAAGAATGAATCAACAGACTGAAAAAGTAGAGATTGATACCAGATTATCTTTAATCTCCTCTTGTAAATGTCGGACGAAATATCTTCCCATAAATTGACACGACTTGTGAAGACAAGGAAAGGTCAGAGGAAAAGCATAATCTAAGGTATTCAACATTCGACTTAGTCTAACTTTCAGTGCTATCCGTGGTACTAGAATCATGCAAACAAACCAGTTCACGTAAGTCACGCATGCCTCTGAAAGTGGAAGTGACAACCTGACATTTTGAAGGATTTAGCTTAAGGTCATTTGGCAGGGAACACTGATTAATTTCTCATACAAATCTGGCCGTTTCTTAACAATCTGAAGGGAGAAGTAACCGACAAAAAAGCAGTCAGATCATCGGCATACTTTATAAATTTGACTACTTCAGAATGACGAGAAATTCCCACCATTACGCAGTATACTGCTTCTAATCAGTAGAATACAAATGCAACCGCTTATTATTATTCCAATATGGGTAAATTTTTTTTTGATAAAGTCTCACAGTGTTATACAGTAATGTTTACTGATGACGTTCCGAGCACAATTTATTGCTCATAATCATATCAAGGTACTCACACGACTACCTAACTTCATTTATATAGTTCCATTACTTTCCATCGCTTGATTTGATTGGTATTTCCTATATTTCAGGTATGAGTAATGAATCATTCCTATTGCATGTGTTTGGTGTAGACATCTACTATCTTTAAATTCCAAGGCAAAATATATAGACAAACAGAAGGTGTAGCAATGGGATCACTAATATCCCCTATCGTAGCAGACATACTTATGAACAGCTGGGAAAGTAATGCTCTTAATACGTTTACTCCTACTCCAAAAATATGGTGGAGGTATGTGGGTGACACTTTCACAGTGTTAAAACAGAACATATATCTAGCTTCTTGACACACATAAACTCACTAGTGAAGGGAATAAAATTCACATTTGAATCGGAAAATGAACAAGGAGAATTAGCTATGTTAGATTGTAAAATAAAACAGTGTCTGAAGGTGAAGGTGAACCAGTCTGTTTGTTGATGAGCATTTCCATTAACTTCATTTGTTGCTCAAATAGTAATTCCAATTTAGAAGAATCCATAGTTTTCCCCGTCGCCAATTTTCTGTTATGTACTCGTCGAGTAGTTAAGTCCTGACGCGGAAAGAGGAAAATCAGAAGATCACCACGTTCACGATGATACTTGTATTTTCCAAACAAGGGAAAAAAATGACTGTCACACAAGTGTGTGAGTGGAAGGGTACGTAGTGTACGAATGTGTGAACAAGTGTGTCTATAAGTGTACAATGCAAAAGTATACATGAAAACGACTAATATACATGAACCAATAAGACAGATAGTAGTTTACCTTACCATCATTGGATTCTGATTGGTTGTAATGTCATGTGATAAAAGGGTCATACATTGTTTATTTAGTTAATGGACAGACAAAAGCATATTGTCAGTTTTAATGAAATATCGATCCATATACACATCGCAAAATATAACAGACTGTCAAAAACAAAACATACATCATGTGACTGCATATCAAGCTCTTATTTTAACACCGTTAGCTGGCGTCAGGACGTTGTGATTGGGTGCTAGTAGTGGGTGTTGGCGCAAACGTCGGAGAAACGAAGTCTTTACGAGGGACACTGTTGCGCCAGCACCCAAGAGTATTTTAGAAGGCACTCTGTTAATGCGTCCCCATAACATGAGTGGTTCACCATTACATGAATATGTGGACAAGTTGTAAAATGGGGACTTACTTTGTTGCATCTGGCGGTTGCGACCACACTTGCGTACCTTCGTACAGAGCTTTCAACAGTAGTAACAGTTGGACGCACTGGTATCTCCACGTTGTTATCGGCTACGCACTAGAGCATTGCGGTTAGGTTGGCAAACGGAAGCTGATGTAGGTTCTGCAGGGACTGTGCAGCAGGAGCTGTTGTTCGTGGCTGCATAGTTTTCGCCGGCGTCCATAAACCGAAGGATCGTCTGCTTAAGGTCTAGCGTACTGGTTAGGGGTAGCTGCAGAAGATTTGTGCGCAGATCACAGGGAAGTAAACCATCGATGAACCATGTACGTACCATTCTTTCCTTGTTCGCTGCTTCCCCATGGATGTCAGTACGAGCCACCATAGTCCACAGAACATGAAAGTAATCTATGGGACTCTATTTCTCTCTCTGCAGACAGATGTCGTCGGCTGAGGTGTTTCAGCATCGCGTTATCAGAGCCCAACTGTGAGTCGAAGCAGGAGTCCGGTATACTCCAGTTTTGTGCTGGCAGGGTTCGTGTAACAAAATCCAACAGCGATTGCTCCTACGTAGGCTTTATGAGAGAGGCTATTGAGGATGTGGACACAATGGTGACCTGGCGGGGCTGGACTGAGGAACGCTTTTTTGTACGCGTTTCTTCCACGCCTAGTAGTCTGAAGTGAGTTCGAAGACTAGTGGTTGGTTAAGAGCGGGCACGCTGGGAGCAGTCGGTGCACATTCCTCTGGAAAACGCTCGGGAGATTCACAATCTGATGAGAGATCCATGTATTTTGGACAATTTGGCTCCTCCGACGCCATTTTTGTAACATAACGAGCACCAGTCACACAAGGAAGGAGAGCAGAACACGAGTTCCGTAAGGAAGGGTACTTTTGAAAGTCCAAACGATTAGACTACGCGGGCTAGGCTCTTACAAACACTCAGTCTTTCTTTCATCATTGATGTCAAGTCTTGATAGAAGTTGTTCCTCCTGCTCCTCGGAATAAACTCTTGGGTATTTCCCTGGAAGGAAAAAAACAGATCATTGTGAAATGGTTCATCTGTACGTGTTGTTGTTTTCGTGTTGCTTTACTGCAAAACCTGGTGAGTGAAAGTTTAATCTGTATTAGG